CGCCTTATATGGTCTTTATCTTAAAAATAACTAAGTATCTCTTTCTAGTTCTATTTATCTTTATTTTTAAATATTAGTGCCATATTATTAAAATCTTGGCTTCTACAATTTAAAAAGGTTGGTCTGGCTATTTTGTACATTTTTTTTGACGCTTTTGGTCTTCAATTATCAAAATCGTGGACAAGCGCTCCGATAACGTTCAATCAAACATCCAGCAGTTTTGAACTAGTTCCCGGTTCTTATTTTAACGTTCCTGCCTTTAGTATCGTAATTCTTTTGACTTTTCTACTCATTGTAGGAGTTAAAGAATCTGCCAGAGTTAATGCATTGGTTGTCAGCGTGAAAGTTGTAGTTATAATAATATTCGTTATTGCAGCCGCAACACATATCAATAAAGACAATTACCATCCATTTATCCCACCAAATGAAGGTTCATTTTCAAGATTTGGTGTATGTTTATTTAATATTAAAATTGTTGGTCAAATTTTTCAATGAAACTCAAAATTATGATGAAATTTAGGTTACTGGAATATTGGCAGGGACTAGTATTGTATTCTTTGCATTTATCGGATTTGACTCGATTTCAACTATTTCACAAGAATCTAGAAATCCGCAGAGAGATTTACCAATTGCGATTATGGGCAGTTTCGGAATCGTCTCCGTTATTTATGTCGCTGTATGGTAAGTTTCCTACATGTAAACATTAGCCAACAATTATTATCTAGTAGTAATATATTATTAAAAGATAAATGCAACTACCTTAACAAAGACCATGGCAAGGATTTGTCGTTTTGAAAGCATCACTAATTTATTTATTCATTTTAAAGCGTCGTGTTGACCGGTGTAGTATCATATAAGAAGCTTGACAGCCCTGCGCCGTTATCTGTAGCAGTTGATGAAATGGGGATGAAATGGTTGGGAGTGGTTGTGGATCTTGGCGCAGTATGTGGTCTGATATCTGTCATTCTTGTATCATTGATGGGGCAACCGCGTATTTACTTAGCGATGGCAAAGTAATTTTTTCATATTTTTTCATCAAATTTTATTTTGATCATTCTGAACGTGCTAAAAAATATATTTCACAATTTACAGTGATGGGTTATTCTTAAACGGAATTGCTTCAAAAGTTCATCCTCGATTTGGTACACCATATCTAACAACTATAATGGGTGGAATAATTTGCTCTATAGCAGCTGCGCTGTTTCCGATTGAGATACTTGCTGAGTTGACATCGGTCGGCACACTATTGGCTTTCTTTTTAGTCAACATTGGGGTGACAATTTTAAGATTTAAAGCCCCAAATGCGCCTAGAAGATTCAAAGTTCCAGGTGGTCCATTTCTAATTCCGATTACAGGTGCCGTGTTAACTTTATTAATTTTGGCAACAGCATCACCTGCAAGTATTGGGAGATTGTTTGTTTGGATGGCAATCGGGTTGTTTGTGTATTGCTTTTACGGAAGGCATCGCTCTAAAGCAAATAATCCAGAGTTGGCAGAAAAAGGAAAAGACATGGAAATGAAGTCTTTGAATGAGGACGGTGAGCAAATCGGAAACGCCGAGACGAGTCGGCGAACTAAACCTTCAACAAACGTTTAATAGAAATCATTCTTTAAAAAATCGCATTTTTTTTTTTTTTTAAAGACATTTTAATGTGTAATTTTGTACATTGCTAATAATTTATTGGCATCGGATTCTTTTTTTTTTATTTTTGTCAATTGCAATATACAACCGCTCACTCTATTCCGAATTGCTATTTTAAAGATTTTTTATTCGTTAAAGAGTGAGTGCGTTATATAATAGAGTCTATGTCAAACATTTTAGAAATTTGAAATAATAAATTAATGATAAATTTTGCACATGTGATTGTCAGATAGTTATATCTTATCAGTAGGGATTTTCAAAATTTGAAGATTGTTTCTAGAATAATCAGTTATCATTTGATAATCTATATTCATCGAACTATCAAAAAAAGTATTTTCGAATACCGTATTCCTCCAATCCCTCGGAGCCGTGATCTAATGATTGGATTTGTATAATTCTGGTGCAAAACTTTCATTTTTGATCTACTTTTTTGATAATGATCGACGTGCAGATCCCAGTAAAAATAAGAATTTTCAAAATTTTGAGCGAAGCTATCTCGACAACCATTTGACCAAATCCGATAAAAAGTTTCTTATTTGGATTCTATTGAGTCATAGAATTCAAATAAAAAAGCTTATCGAATTTGGTCAGATAAGTTGTCGAGATATCTTCGCTCAAAGTTAGAAAAAAAAATCAAAACGTTATCAAAATATAAGCCGCGTCAAATTTTTTCTCTAACTTTGAGCGAAGATATCTCGACTACCATCTGACAAAATTCGGTGGAAATTTTTTTATTTGAATTCTATGAATCAATAGAATTCATATAAAAAAAGTTCATCGAATTTTATCAGATAGTTGTCGAGATATCTTCGCTCAAAGTTAGAGAAAAAATTTGGCGTAGCTTCTATTTTGATAGGCGTTTTGATTTTTCTCTAGCTTTGAGCGATATATCTCGACAACCATCCGACCAAATTCGATAAACTTTTTTTATTTGAATTATATGGATTCATAGAATTCAAATAAAAAAGGTTTTATCGAATTTGGTCAGATGGTTGTCGAGATACCTTCGCTCAAAGTTAGAGAAAAAATTTGACGCGGCTTATATTTTGATAGACGTCTTGATTTTTTTTCTAACTTTGAGCGAAGTTATCTCGACAACTATCTGACAAAATTCGATAGAAAATTTTTTATTTGAATTCTATGATTCAATAGAATTCAAATAAGAAACTTTTTATTGGATTTGGTCAGATGGTTGTCGAGATATCTTCGCTCAAAATTTTGAAAATTTACTGGGATCTGCATCCAGACACTAGATCACGAGAATTTTGGCTATAAAAATTGCTCTACTATTCCTATAGTTAATTAATTTGTAAAAATTAAATAAAACTTAATAAGTAAAGAATTTTTAACCACCCTAAATGCAGTTTAAACTCTGGCCCGTAAATGCAGATTTTAATGATAATAAAGCTTTTATTTTAAAGTTCTCATTTTATCTTTTTAAAATATTTTATTATAGAATTTAATAACGTCGCACCCTTACTAAAAAAGCTGGTTCATAGTCGGAACAAACTTGGCTCTGAGAGAAAAAGCGTTAGCAGACGTGCATTGCAAGAATACTGTGATGATTTCTTTGGAATTATAATGAGCGTTAACAGTTGCACTCTGCAAGAATATTCGATTACTTCTTTAGATCCCGTTAATAATTATCTTGGATCAGAATGAGGAAAGCATTAGCCGTTGTACTCAGCAAGAATACTGCAATAACTTCTTTGAATCCCGGTGATCTTGAATCAAAATGGGGAAAACGTTAGCAATTGCACTTGTAATGATTTCATTTGATTCTGGTAATAATGATCTTGGATCTGAATGAGAAAAGCATTAGCAGTTGCACTCAGTAATGTAACCATCGTAAGGGAGAGCTTAGTATTGTCATGCCGAATTTAACTCTGATGGTTGACGTTAGAAGGGTCACATGAATTGGGCAATAAACTATGGTATTCGGATATTCATGATTCATTAGGGCATTTATTATAAAAAAGAATGTGACCTTTATTTATCGAGGAATTTTGGAGAGCGAATGTTATCCTCAACTAAGGGTGAAGACGCACTCTTATATACATTCTAATTTTACAGATGGGATCTCAACGCTTACGCAGTAGATTCCATATTTGCCCAAGGCGCAATGAGCGTAAACGCTTGGCATGAAATAAGCGAGCTACCAAGAATACATAATAATGCCTAATACTACTAAGGTAAGATTAACATGACGATGATGATACAATTATGGAAGGTGAGTGACGACTTAAAGAATTAAACAAATACGGAAGTGATGAGACACAGGAAAAATTAATCG